CTAACCGCCGGCGTACGGCTCCGTGGCCGATCTACGAAGATGCCGACCTGACTCCGGAGAAGAGAAGTACACGGAACACTCGGCCTACTAGCAGAGCGCGGTACGAATTCGCGTGGGTACGAGGTGCCGGTAGTGGCATCATCAGCCACCAACAGAGGTGGCACCCAGCTCCCCCACCACGCCACGCGGTGTGCCAGCCTGGACCCTCCCACCCGTCTCAACGAGGGCAAACCATCTCGCAAAAATCGTCCCCCTTTCCATGGAAGGAAAAGAACTACGGCGACGACTCTGCCACCACCACTGTCGAGCCGACCGTTTCTCGTCACTACCACCACCACCATCGGCACACTACCATCGTTATCGCCAGCGCCACCGTCACTGTACCGCCGCCTCCTCCTACACCGCGATCAACCGTCATCTCGCGGAACGGGGATACCAGAACTTACGGATTTGGATCGCGTTGTTCGGTCCTTCGAGAAACCCGCTACCGCGTACAGGTTGTTATCGCCAGGATCGGCCGTACCTCGGCTTCGTGAGGCCCGATCGAAATTTCGATGTCAGTGACGATTTACGATACAAGTGCGCGTGTGAATAGTACTCGACGGACCAACGATTATACCTGATCTCGCCACGGGTATATACTCGCTAACAAACGAGTTTCCGCCAACTTCGAATCCGGAGGAACCAGTCGTCGTCGCGCGGACACGCGGCGGCACCTCTTCTTCTTCTACCCTCTCTCTGAACAGGAGCGAGAGAACGCGTATGCATACATGTGGACGCACACGCGCGCGAATCACGCAGAGGACGAAGACAGAAGTGCCGAGAGGGGTTGTACACGTGTGAACCGAGCCAGTTGGTAGTTACTTGTTTAGAGTGCGCACGACTCGGTGCGGTGTTAACTTACAACTCGTCGCGAGTCGAGAAAATCGTGATCGACTCTCGACGACCTGTTCTTAAAAAAACCGAGGTAAATACGGGTATTACCATTTTGTGATTGCGCCGAGTGCGAACCGGTACGTGTGTCGAAGGATTCTACGGACCGAGGAAAAAAAAGCTAACCGCCGGCGTACGGCTCCGTGGCCGATCTACGAAGATGCCGACCTGACTCCGGAGAAGAGAAGTACACGGAACACTCGGCCTACTAGCAGAGCGCGGTACGAATTCGCGTGGGTACGAGGTGCCGGTAGTGGCATCATCAGCCACCAACAGAGGTGGCACCCAGCTCCCCCACCACGCCACGCGGTGTGCCAGCCTGGACCCTCCCACCCGTCTCAACGAGGGCAAACCATCTCGCAAAAATCGTCCCCCTTTCCATGGAAGGAAAAGAACTACGGCGACGACTCTGCCACCACCACTGTCGAGCCGACCGTTTCTCGTCACTACCACCACCACCATCGGCACACTACCATCGTTATCGCCAGCGCCACCGTCACTGTACCGCCGCCTCCTCCTACACCGCGATCAACCGTCATCTCGCGGAACGGGGATACCAGAACTTACGGATTTGGATCGCGTTGTTCGGTCCTTCGAGAAACCCGCTACCGCGTACAGGTTGTTATCGCCAGGATCGGCCGTACCTCGGCTTCGTGAGGCCCGATCGAAATTTCGATGTCAGTGACGATTTACGATACAAGTGCGCGTGTGAATAGTACTCGACGGACCAACGATTATACCTGATCTCGCCACGGGTATATACTCGCTAACAAACGAGTTTCCGCCAACTTCGAATCCGGAGGAACCAGTCGTCGTCGCGCGGACACGCGGCGGCACCTCTTCTTCTTCTACCCTCTCTCTGAACAGGAGCGAGAGAACGCGTATGCATACATGTGGACGCACACGCGCGCGAATCACGCAGAGGACGAAGACAGAAGTGCCGAGAGGGGTTGTACACGTGTGAACCGAGCCAGTTGGTAGTTACTTGTTTAGAGTGCGCACGACTCGGTGCGGTGTTAACTTACAACTCGTCGCGAGTCGAGAAAATCGTGATCGACTCTCGACGACCTGTTCTTAAAAAAACCGAGGTAAATACGGGTATTACCATTTTGTGATTGCGCCGAGTGCGAACCGGTACGTGTGTCGAAGGATTCTACGGACCGAGGAAAAAAAAGGAGTCACGGTGTGCGCGAACAAGTCGATCCTCGCCTTTCCTTTTTCACGAACGTCTCTCCTCCGTCACCATCGCTCGAGTTCTCGACCTACCACTGTTTCCCTCTCTATCTCTCGTTTCGCCGCCTGTCCGTCCCTCTAGCGCTTCCTCTCGCTCGCTCCTCCCTCTGTTCCGTCTCGCTTTCTCGTTTCCTCGCTCTCTCTCTCTCACCCTCTGCATCGCGCTTTCTTCGTCGTGCTCGCCGTTTACGTACCTCCGCCTTCCTATCCGCCGAGCGGAGGACTGGATTCCGTCGAAAAGAAACGACGATTCGGAGGATAGTCGCGACCGATCATAGCTGGCGCGCCGATCGGATCAAACGGCGTGGAGTTGCGAGCAATCGTCATCCACCGGCTCGTATACACGCATTAACGCGTGACGTGTTTGTGCCGCCTTCGTGCCCCGGTAATCGGTTCACCGGGTTCTAGTGTCCACGTCACCTGGACAAAACGATCTTTGTCTCTCCAGTGATCAGTGCGTGAACTCTACCCGTTTGACTTATGCTTGTCATCGCGCCGTGAAAGACGAGTCCTGGCGAGAAACCGACAGTGTCTGCACCGGGTGGGTGCCTTGTGGTCGGAGATCGGCAAACTGGTCCTTGCTATTGTGTTACGACTCTGTGACAGTGCGAGTGTATACGGCCTGGAGAACACCTCCTGCGGGATCGAGTACTATCGAGTACTAATAAAACGCGCGCCTCAGTGAAACCTGTACCTACGATATCCTCCTTTTTTCTACACCGCCTTTTTCATCCGTCGTTTGTGACTCCGCTCGCTGCGAGACCAACACCATTTGTCGTCAACTTTTTCACGGTGCTAACAGTGAAACGATACGGGGAAAGAAAAGTGTTCTTGATACTTGTTCTCGAATGACTCGGTGAGACCAAAACGCGACACAGATGTCACGGTATGAAAGGATGAACGCGTAGCGGCGCTCGACTATCCGGCCCTGAGTGGCCGACACAACATGTCACAGTTCTCTTTCCGAGGATCGCCAAATCTACAGGTGAGTGTCCTCCGTTAGCCTAACTTTCGCGACTCGATTTCACCGTACATTTCCAAGATTACTTCGATCGATGTACTCTTCGATTCGATGACATCGATCACGATGTAGCATGACTGAACCCGATCAGCTGCTACCGTGAACTCCGTTTCCTCGTTACGGGTAGCACGCTGACTGCCACCGTGAAAACGGTCGTGTGCAGCACACGCTGCAACTACATCTACTCGAGATATAATCGTTTTGTTTTTCTATTCGAGCATTCCTCGCATTTACGCTAATTTATCGCGTTGTTTTGCCGTGTAGTCACCCATGATCGATGTCCGCAACTTTGTACGACAGCGAAAAACTTTGAACGAAATTATAGTAATCTAAAACTCGAAATTGAGGAGCTAACCGTTGACGTCCCTACGAACTATAATTTTACACTCACGTAATCGAATAAGTAAAAACACCAGCCAGTCACGTGAACTTTATGGTCTCCTTATCGTCAACACGTTGACCGTCACGGTTAAAAATGACCATATATAATATGACGCATTATAATGGCAGTTGCGTATTTTGAATATAATCGTTCCATTTTTCAATCCAAGCATTTTGTATAATAAGCTGCACAACAAGAACGCTTACTAAGCGTAGCAAATGTCTCGGTAATTGAACAAAATTTGTAATGTAATTGTAGATACGAATATTAAGTTATTTAAGCAAGCCAGCAAGCGGAAAGCGTTAGTACTTTGAATAATCGTACTTGCAACGCGTTGTATGTATGTTCGCTTTTAATTACTTCGTCATATTAGCCCTCGAGTGAGCAAGCAGATATTCAGGTATCTTTTCAGATAATTAAATTGTATTCATTGCTGCTTAAATTTTATTTTATAACGCAATTCAATGAGAATGTAAAATGGGGAACAATTATATATTTTGATGAGAATATAAAAAACTATAAAAAGGAAGATTTGGTTGTTCGTATCAGGGATTGATTGGCGCCATTAGTGACAATGTATTAACACTTAATATTCTTGTAATTTGTTACATGATATAACGGTAATAATATGTAAATTTTGAATACAAAGATTCCCTATTTTTTTCTCAAAGATTAAATTTGTTGCGAGTGAATCTTATGGCAACGCGATAAACATCTCAGTAAGTCTTAGCAAACCTTATTATTTATTATTTGGCAAATCTTTTATTTGTTCGCATAACTTTCCATCGCATTAACTTCTGTTACCAATCGGGAAATATCGAGGTGCGTTTGGTTAGCACAAAAGGCGAGGAAAATATACGACGCACGTGCAAGCGCACGATACTTAAAAACCAATAGAAAAAAGACATAAGTAATATTGAAATATTAGTGGCAAATACTCGTATATTGTAATTAGTTATGGCTAGATTTACCAACGAGTGTACCTATTTCCACTAAAGGGGTCAAAACGACCTCATGTTGAGATAAAATCATTCGATGAAAACGTGAATTTATCTGTACAAGTGTAGTTTTCGTTTCGAAATTAATATTCGAGATCAAAGATATCACGAGAACTAAGTAAACCAATGAAATATTTCTTGCAAAATTTCTATACACTTTTATTATTCTTAGATACTCTAAAATGTTAGGTTAGGGTAGTTCTAAAACGTGTGGCAAGAAAAGCATTCGAAATTGCAATGAAATTATTTCACCCGTATTTCACTAAATTACCCCCCCCAAAAAAAATACCAAAAGTATTTTGACCAACTGGCAGACGTGTTAAATGAAAATCGTGATCGTTGTCCGACCAATGCATGTATAAATCCGGATATAATTTCGATGGTTTGAAAGTCAAATGTATTCAACGGTCGAAAGGCTCTCACCTATTTGTGTCTATCTGTTCCTTTTCCTGTGTGTGATTTCGCCATATGTCACGGTTAACCAGGCGAATGAATCGTTTATGCCGTTGACTATACACCGCGAAAACGGATATCGTCTTTATCGTTGCGGATGCACTTTTACGAGCTGCCGAGGTGGAGGAAGTCATCTCCTTCGCTTCACGGAGTTACGATCGTTTGATTGCACGCGATGCAAGTGCGATTCCTAGACTTACCTCGTGTTCGAGTCGAGTTGGCATACAACATAATTTCACTCGATACTGGTAATATTTAAAGTTTCATTGCAAAACGGACGTCGCTTTTAGAAACCGCGATGTTATCGAACTTTCAATTCGTATCGTGTACAAATGCTCCGTTTAACGACTACAAGTGCTATAAAAATCAACTTGTTCTTTTCTACAAACACCTTTTACTGACTAATTAATTTTACGAGCTAAGTGAAATCATTTTCGAGTCCGCGATAAAAATGTCTGCTTATTTTTCTTGGCAACTAGACCGTTATTTATCGTAGAATGTTAAAAGAAATTTGTTACAATTCATCTTAAATTCCGTACCAAAAAATTTGATATTATTTCAAACATTTCTGTTGAGAATAAAGGTTAATATTAAACATAACAAATATATGTAAAATTCAGTATAGGTTACGTTAAACGTTTCACAATTTTTCATCACAATACCCTAATACATTGATGACGAATGATCCAATTTTAGTGCTCTGTCAGTTCTAAAGTCATTGTCAAGATCATATTGTTAAAATTTCAATGAAAAATGGTAGTTTCAATTTGGAAGATCATTCACGAAAATCGTAACGAGACACAAGCCACGTCGAGTGGTTGCAACGATTCATTTCGGTCTTGCAAACCGCAACGGATAATTTGTAGCGTGGGATCTTGTTCGTAGGGAAAATGGATAGCCGTTGGCAAGCCTGAGAGATTCGGTACCACGTGTCCTGACATGTTGCATATAGGTGTTACGCTGCTGTTGGTGCATACCTATTCGCTGTGCATAGCGCCGAGCTGAGAACATGTGTTGCCACGCCTAAAGCAACGTTCCGAAATGATCGAAGAGCTTGCGCCCTGCTAGAATAATTATCTCGTCTTACTATCAGCCGGCTTTTTACACCTTTATCGTTGCATTGTTGCCACGCTCGTTCGAAACTCTTTTATCGTCTACCTTTCACCGATTCTTCTTAATTTCCACTTCTTATGATTAATTCTTTTAATCTAAAAACGACTGTTCTTATTGAAAGGTAGTCTTTTTTTGAACAAATTTCATGGCAGTAGAAGTTTCATTTTCTTTTTATTAATTTCAGTACTAAACGACTGCAAAAATTTCATTTACATGCAATTAAATTAATGAGACATTTAGATGATTCCAACTTGGCATACTTAATATAAACAACTCTAAAATAAAATTATAAAAATTCTAAGATTGTCCTGAGACTCCTACGATCTGACTGTTTAAATACTACAAATTTATTGAGAGTCATCGAAATCGTTCAATATGCTAATTGAACAAATATGCATTTGTTCGAGTAAAGTCTTTTAAATGTCAGTTCGATTCAGTTCGATTAATCGTTGTTTTAAACGGTGTAGATAGTTTGGCGCAAAATTATTAACAATTCGAAGCGACTATCGATAATATTCGTAAACGTAGTAGAGAAACAGAAAACAGAATCGTTGCCGGTATCGTGTTTGTTTTAAGTGCCGATAAAAACTAATGGTCTATTATCTATGTGTATTACTCTCCGTATAACAGAGTTAAATAAACAAGCAAAGAACTCCACTCATGAGTTGTCGTTTTATCGTTGACACAGTTCTTTCTTTTTTCTTTCGAATTCCCGCCCGTTGCCTGTCAAACTTGACGCGTTTAATCTTTCCACCGCGCGCCGTTTGTTTGTACGAAGAAAAATTTATTGAGAGCCATCGTAATCGTAGAATTCAATTTCTCAACACCAGACGGGGTCTTTGAATCATCGAACGCCACTTTCTCGAGAACGTACGCGACACTGCTTATCGTAATTATGTCATAGTTCGGCTAAAAAGCGTCGATAAGGAAACCTCACACTTTGTTCTATCGTCCGTGAAGCCTAGTTTCATCACCGATCTTGTACGTACAATAAATACCGTTTTTTCTCGCGTTTTTATTCCGTCTAATCTAAACAGCCACCGTTTGATATTAGGAATAAAAGTAAGGTTTCGTTTATTTGCGTCAGATGCAGCGCGATTTTAATTACAGTGACAGGAATTAGGGATACGAATTCGCCGAGTTCTAAATTTAATTCATACCCATCGTCAAGCTGGTGGGAGCAAGATCCTCTTAATATTTTTTCCCAGCCAGAATTAAGCTCGCCGCGACGACACGCGAATTTCGTAGCATGCGAACAAGCCAGAAGAAATTGATGTTCGGTATCCTGACTTTTTCTTTTGCGAACGGTCTCGTTTCCAAGCGCGAGTATTCGAGCGGAGTACAGCAAGAACCAAGTTGTTGCAACGATGAAGAGATAAAAATTCTTCGATCCCCGGCTGGTCGGGATAGCGGAATCGCCGGCTTGAAATTAAGAAGGCGAAAGCCGACAACAAGCACACCTGAACGCGCTTTATGGTTATTAATGATAAGTTTACACGGCTCGCGTGTCGTACGTATTTACGGCCGACAGTTTCTTCGCCGAGAGCTCAACGACTCGGTTACATCATCGACGCAAAGCAAATGCCAACCGCGAGCTGCTATCGTGCTTGTTGCAATAAGAAAACCGATCGACAATTAACCCTTAGACTCCCATCAGGGTTTCTTCTACACTGTCGACAAATTTAGAATTAGAACTTCGCACCTAACATTCTGCGGTTTGAACATGTACTCGTGGGTAAATCGTTTCGAACAACTTTCAGTCTGAGTTTGGTAAAGTTAGGATTCAAGATAGTATTTGCTGTGTAGGAAGTCTGAGGTTTTAATTAGAATTTTGATGAAGCCCGTGACTCGACGTTATATTTAATTATCTAAAAAATTAGAAAGAGCCGGTCAAAGTATCGGCCATCCTTCGTGTCATCCTCTCCGAAGTTCCACGCATAAGAAGCATACCGCAGATGCATCGGATTTAGATTCAGCAATACTCCGGATTTAACGGCAGGTTCGGTTGCCTCCCAGTC